ATCATTCGTAGGGAAACACTACTTCGCAAAAAACCATCCGCGTAACCACTAGAGTGCCTCCACGCACCACCACACACACCACCTCCAGAACCACCACACGCCGCTACACATGCTGCGCCGGAACCACCATTCGCCGCCACGAACAGATTGATATCACCACAGAACCACACACGCGCTCGCATCTGGCACAGATCTCGTGAAATCGCATAGAAACACGCCGTGGATCCGTAAAATTGCACAATCTAGCCGCTGTGAGACTTCTTCTCCAGTCGTTTGTTGCTCTCTCGCTCGTCAAAGAGTCCCGACCTGACATGGATCTTCTTCTTCTGCCTCAATCCGCACACGAAGAGGGAGGACCTGCTATCATGTGCAATTCTTCTCCTTCTGGTTTAACGTCGCACGCAAAACTAGTCGTCACCCACAGATCTGCTGCAATTCCTTTAGAACACCGGATAGTTCTACCAAATCTTTCTTCTGATGGAGAACCACCGCACTAACACCTCTAGTCTCTCCTTCAGGTGGCGGTCAGGACACACAAATTAGATCTGATCTGGTTCTTCTCTCCCCTCTTATCTAATTTTCTCTCAAAATTGTAACTCTGATACCATATAATTGAACAGAAATGTATAGAAATACTTTCTTATTACTTTACTCCAATAGATTTCAGATATATATACATACAAAGAAATTTATATAAGGTAACTAACATAAATTAGTCTATTAATTTGCTGTCTATAATTATGCTAAATATATGAGTCAATTATTTATAATTATGCTATTATACAAGGAAACTATGTTGTCATCTTATAACACAGAAAACTCAAAATAGCCAAAATCGCTTATGGACAACAAATGACCGCTTTCTAATCCCAATGATGCTCAGAAATTTTCTAAATAGAACAATTCCTGGGAGCTTTGACCCATAAGTTAGCCAAGACCATGACTGTATTGATTCCAGAACCAAATAATGAAAATCTCAGGCTACCGTATGTTTATGCATGCAGTACTTAATTCGAAGCATGAAATTGTCAATATAGAGCAAACAGTGGAACACTTAAAGTCATTTCCAGAAGTTCCCTAATCTAGTCAAAATTTGAAACATCAACCAACTGATAGGTAAGTTAAGGCCAAAAATCCAGTATAAGCAAGCAGCTGTTAGTTGGCATTTCTGGATTCAATTTCAACTTTTCAACACATTTTAAAGTTCTATAGTACAGTGATCCAGACCCTCTAAATCTAAATAAGAAAGCTGATTATAATACTCTTTAATAGATTTTTGTCATTTTTCTAA